TAACTGGACAGTCCAGTCGCATTCAAAGAAAATGGAACCCCATCTTATTTCGCAGTCAGTCTTGTATTAGTAAGCATAAATATTTACCTATCACCGTAGATTTTGTCGGAGCAGCAAGGCTAGCAATTTTACAGCTATAACGAGTTGGATCCTCACCAAGTGCCTAATTATATGGTCATCTGGTGTCAGACAAATTTGAATGCCTCACTTGGCAACTTTATCGCGCTGAAGGTAAGTAAATTCGATCCTATTTATGTGCGCCAATTCTATGGCCTTGTGCTAGACAAAGATAAGCTTAATAAGTATTTACATCTTGTACCAGATGCGTCTTACGTTTGAGCAGCTGCTTGACATTAAAATTGATCTAATTAATTGAGGCCCCCACCCCACAAAATTTTTTCTTGCGTGTAGAACGGCATTACCTGTTGCACAATAGAGCATCTCAGCGTTTCTTTTGTGCCATCGGCGATGAGACTAGAAGGACATGAAATATCCTATGCAGAGTAACACCTTTGTATAATGCACGTTTACACTGAATTAAGGTAAGTAATGGACCTATGAGGTGGGTCCTGATTTCATGGGCTCCTTTTTGTGGCGTTGCTGTCAGATAATTGCTTGCCTGGAAGTGGGACATATCCGTGTGGATACTGCATTTGTAAAAAAAAAAAAATAAATAAATAAGTAAATAAAAAAATTACCCTATATACGAAAATGATTAGCTAGTCACATAAACTGACCCGATAAATGAAAGTCCCTATAAGAAGAATCTGTGTATTTTGGGTAAACGTAATTGATTTCGAATCGATTCAAATGAAAACTGATTTCTAAAACTATAACGATATCCCTAAGTATCAGTCATTGACGGTAAATAAAAAAATGGTCGTATGTCGGAGAGTGATGGTTAACAAGACAGTATTCTAGTTCAATTCTTTTGTAAAAAGAATTCGATCCTCACTGGGCACGCCATCAGTGGTCTTTGTGCTAACCTTCATTTAGAAAATGATCATTTCAGCGTTGGGTAGTGGTTAGAAAGCATATCTCGCAGACCATCCTTATTTTAGAGATTTCGAATGGGTAGGCAAAACTTTTGGCCTTGTGCCAGACGAAATTAAGCTGAGTAAATATAATGAGAATATTGGAGTAATTGATCAAGGTTAACTGCAAAATGCCAAACAAACGGAATCGACAAAATTTCTAATAAACAATAACGAAAGAGAAAAAAAAAAGAGCAGAGGAAAATAATACGAAGCAAACAATCTTTATGCAAGACAAAAGTAGGCAAAACAACAGAAATAGATTTTAAAAATTCACGAAATGAAAATCATCTTCACACGCAAAAGGGATACAGTCAAGTGATCGTAGCGTTCTGACTTCAAAACAAGGTAGCACGGAGGATGAGACCGAAAATTGATTCAATTTTATTGGTTAGGAAGAAATCCCAGCATGTATCTTTAGGGTGTGTCTATTCATTTGGAGAGGGGAATGTTTTTAGTAGTTATTCCTTGGAACCAACAAGAATTATATATATAAATGGAGATTAAGGTCAACACCCAGCGACAACAGTATGTTTCAAGTAATCGAAAGTACTTGGAAAATGAAAATAAAAGAAATTTAAACAACTATAGCACATTTCTCCCATCCTTTAACATCAATACATGGAAAGTTATTCGTGAGTATGAACGGATTTTATTAAAAATTAGCTGACATAATGTCTGTAATTTATTCAATCAGACATGCCTAAAAGGGAATTTGTTGTCTAAATACACGCACACACCCATATATATACAAATATATATATATATATATATATATATATATATATATATATATATATATATATATATATATATATATATATATACATATACACAAGGAGAGAGAGAGAGAGAGATAATAATATATAGTCTTAAGGTATACTATATTTATGGGTTAAAGTGCTCAATATCAGGGATATAGCGTATGTCAATATAAAAGTGGACATTCAAATCAAGGCCCAGAAGCAACAGTTTGTTTTATGTCCACTTTTACACACACACACACACACACACACACACACACACACACACACACACACACACACACATATATATATATATATAGAGAGAGTTATTATTTATGCAGATGATATAACTATTTACTCCTGTTTTAATAGTAAAACTGCCAGCTGCTCTTGAAGTGAACTCCAATCAGTTGTTCACTGAGGTAAACACTATCTTATAAATTTCAACGCCTCCAAAATGAAATTGCTATCTTTTAATCACCATAGAGAACATTTTCGCTTTCTATCAGCATGGCAGATGCTAACCTCTAGGATAGTAACTCATTGTGTCTTCACGGTCTCGCGTTTTACACTAACAAGTCGTGGATTGATTATATTGAATCGATTGTTAGGTTTGCTACTAGGAAAGCTGACAGTACTGTGTCGCGCCAGCCAATTTTTCTCCCCCAAATCCATGTTACACATTTATAAATTTTCAATTTGCCTGTGCATTGAATATTGTTGTTATATCTTGTCTGATGCTCCTGTTGTATATCCCAAGATTCTGCACACAATTCCAAGAAAGGTTTGTAATATTTTCGGTCCTGAACTAGCATCTCAATTTCAGTCATTATCCTAAAGCCGTGACGTGGTATACTTTTATAGCAATCTGTGTTTAAAGGCACTATTCAGAATTTGATTGGCTATCGACCGTAGCCTAATTGGCATTTCACCTAAAGATTGAGCGAGAACACATTACTTTCAATTGTTGTCGGACACTGTTCCTCGGGAATCTATTTAGAAATATTTCAATAGTTATGTGTTTAAGTTTATGAACACGCACGAATAAAAAGGTATTTATCAATAATCTAAAATAACAAAAAAAAAAAAACGTATCGACGCTCACACATTCCGACCTTTGTATGCCGTATATCAATAAACAAAAGGTAGCGTTGTTAAAAGGGGTTGGCTGTTAATTCCCGCTAATAATCCTTTAACACTGATAATTAAGAAGTTTGGGGATTAGAATAAATAGAATTAGCTTCGTTCGCCTCCAGGCGAAAGAGACTTCTCACGAACGCATTTCAGTCATATTCCGAGACCACCTGTAGAGGCGAGAGATGAAAAAGTAATGTATTACATATCGTCAATAATAATAATAATAATAATAGTTGGAGCCCTCAGATTGGTTGGAAAAGATTCCAGTAGACTAATTGAAGGGATTCCTGGAAGTCCATGCCTTAAAGAAATACAAACAAATTGTTCTCACGAGTACAGCCCACACCTTACGAAGGGCTTTCTCTATGTAAAATATGTTTTTTTTTCCAGTGGAAAATGTCATGATGCCATTTCTAACCTGAGGTCCCTGGACGGGATCCAGAAGGAAATGAGCATACATCAGAAATCAAAGGAAATAATAATAATAATAATAATAATAATAGTTATTAATTTTCTCAACACGTAAAACATTGTGAAACACATAGCAGTAGTGCTTATAATCATCAGAGTACCGTCCTTAGTATGACGATAAACTACATCCGCATCCTGGTTAAGACAACAAACTATGTCCAACAGCAAGGCCTCTGATCAGGAGATTTTGAGGAGCGTGGAACCACCTCTTAATTGCTGGTGTTCCAAGGTCACAAGGGTAGGAAGGACGTCGTCTGCCAGGACTTCCAGCTGATTAATCTGGTGTTGGAAGATGTTCCGACGTTTTGTCAGGACCATAAGAGCTGGAGTGACAATGTGGCTCTCCTGGGATCAACGTCTTCAAGGTATGAGATTTAGAAGTTAGCAAATTGTTTTGAAGACGCTATCACTGCTGAAGGGAGTTTGAGCTTCAGATTTGGCGCAACACAATCTTCCTATCGTTAATTCTAACCATTTTGCTTGTGCCAGACTAAGCTAAGTTCCCTAAATATCTAATAATACAGCTGGGCTCGCTTTGTAGGCCGAATAGTTGCGCATTTTGGCCGATGTCAACAGTCAGTGTTCGAGCTCATGTAAAGTACCAGAATTATAAATGCTGATTTTCAAGGCTTTTAGACCCTCCCCAAAATTGAAGACTGACGGAAGTTAACCTTTCTATTTTCAGTTGCCGCCCACTTGGACTTGTACCATATCAAATTGCTAGTTACAATCCGACATTACATACTGGCCTTGCCCTCAAAAGGTTGAGAAAGATTTAGTAATAAAAATAAAAGAAATAACATTAAAAATAACATACTGTCATTTCGCTTTCTGATTAAATTTGAATGATTCTTCCTGCTTAGCTTTCGTAGACTAATATTAATCGTTTTAATCAGTAAATACGGTCACAGCGCTCTCCGACATCCCCGGTGCTATTTGAAGTTCTGAAATTAAGCATTAACATTATTTATCGACTTTCTCTCACTAGTACCCACAGAGGCTTGAAGCGAGAGAGATGTGGCTCTACAGATGGATGATGAGAATGCCACGGATTTAACCTTGGGCAACAAAGAAGTTTTAAGGAAAAAATAACTAAATGGAGAGTTGTATTTAGAATCAGAATAAGAGAAAGTGAAATTTCTGTGACGCATAATGAGGAAAGAGGGCTTCGAGAATTTGACACTCACAGAACATACTGAAGACAGAGGGAGGAGGGGGAGGCAACGAGTAATCTACGTAACGAGTTTGCGCGAATGGGTGGCAGAACGGAGACAAAGAGGAATAGTGAAGCGTCAAAAGTTACTTAGAACAACAGGGGGCAAGAAATTGTGGAAAGCCATGATAGGAATCGGATAGCCGAGTTCGAATTCCAGTCGAATCCACTGCATTCACTTACGTGCTAATACCACTTGGGAAAGGTATGAATCCTCTTCTTCTCCCCCCCCCAGCTATGGGTAAATAGCAGGACAGACCGGGTTCTATAGTCTGGGATGGTAACTGAAAGAAATGGCAACCTACTGCGGGAAAAAATCTGCCTCATCAGTCATGTATCGAAAGATACATGATCACCAACGCGTGTATCATGTATGGTACATAACAAAGAGGTTGCTTACCAATGTTCCCAAGCGGAAGCTCATCAAAGTACTGACCAAGCTTGTCGCTGCTTAACTTCTGTGATCGAACGAGAACCTGTGTTTTCAGAGCGCTCCGGTCTTGAATGGACACTGAACATTGAAGACCCATATGTTTGATAATTTGAAAGATTTTTTTTATTCTATAAATGATTAATGCTCTTATTTTTGTTGTTTTGATCAGTTGTTTTTTCGGCAGCTAATTTCGCTGGCCGTCGTAATGTTGTCTGATGCTGTAAATGTATTGTCCCTATTCATTTAATAATTTATTCTGATGTAGTTTTTTTTTTGCCGTTTGTAGGGTGCTAATCCAAATCATTTATATATACACAAAGCTTAGGATAAATATATATACTGATAAAAAGGCCATGAAAAACCGACATTTATAATCGCAACCATTTTACATTAATATTCTTGGGAAATGCTGAACACTTAAATTTGTGTTCTCTCCTAGATATCATGAAAAGATTCCAACCATGGAATGTATCGTTGGTTGATGGGAAAAAAGACGGCACTTGATCAAACAAGCCCTCTATCCTATCTTACTTGCCAAGACTGTATCAGCAAAAAAAAAAAAAAAAAAAATGTTGCACCCGTTGTTAGCCTTGATATGATATATTCCATTACTATCTATTCGCTTAGGACGAAGGTCGATGCGCACCAAATCTCTAAGTACCGGTAATGTCTCTTATTTCTCAAGCTTGACCCATGAAAATTTTCTTTTTTGGTGCGTATCACTTGTGGGGAGGGGAAGTCGGAAGATCGCCTTTCACCTGTTTTTTTCTTCTCGGGGATTAGATGTCTGCACAGAACTCTAGCAGGGAAAGGCTGACCTTCGTTTAGACGTGAACACAGTGCGCGCACAAATAACATTAAGATTAAAATAAAATAAAAATAACGAGATAGATATGAACAGTCTGACATAGATAGATAGATAGATAGATAATGAAGAGACTATGATAGGGTTGTGAGACCGTAACATACCTACATCATGGACTCTTCCAGGACTATATAAAGTATGCGATATAATACTCTAAGAGAAGGGGAGGAGAGAGAGAGAGAGAGAGAGAGAGAGAGAGAGAGAGTGTATTCTAAAACCGTAGTATCAGCCTCGTACGACTACCAATATTGGACACTAGCACATAGTAAGCTCCGCTTACACTTACACTATCTTTGTAACCTTTTTGTTTAATATATCTTTCTTACCTCTAATCCGTGTTCCGTGTTTTCCTTCCGTGGTCCCAACTTTGGGCCCACATCAGATAGATAGATAGATAGATAGATAGAGAAGAGACTATGATAGATAGATAGAAGACAGACAGATAGATAGATATTAAGAAACTAACAAATTTATAAATTTGAACAGATTAAGATAGATAGACAGATAGATAGAGAAGAGACTAAGTTAGATAGATAGATAGATAATAAAGAAACTAAGACATATAAATATAGATAGATAGATAGATAGTTATGTGATTAGCGTGATCAACAATTTGAACAAGGCCAGCACACTCAAGCCCTCGGCCACGATGACTTGTGACTTCACGCTAGCACCCAAAGGTCCCGTCAACCCATGGTATGGTTTTTCAGGCATTTTCCAAAGATGCCGCACGCTAGGATCGACCCCTCAAGTCCGATAACATCAGGCAGTCTGCTTCCTGATAAATCGACCATGTTGAGATTCGAACCCGGAGCTCATGGTCAGAATGAGAACGTTCTAACCTCTCGGCCACGTGTCTAGACTAGACTAGTTGCCAAATAGGGTGAGAGAGTACACTGTGTCCTGTAATTCAACCCACAACTGGGAGAAAAAGAAAAGGATTCATAGCTTTCTTTTTATTTGTGTGAAAGTGAACACGACAGCCTCGGTCGGAATTCACCGATTCCACCTTTGACACCGATAACCGCTACCCTACACGCACATCCTACAATTGTGGGGTAACCCAATAAAAATCGGGCTCTCTAGTAATGACACGCAAAAATATCTTAACTAAATATTTTTCATAGCGACAAGACATTGATAGAGTGACGCGCATGAAAATGCTGAGAGAGATTTTATTCGAAAAACGAGAATCATATGAATATAAGGAAACACAGTGGAGTAATAATTAGCGGCTCGGATTGAAGAACCGGGGTTTAAATTCTAGTCGAGTTCATGACATGCAGTTACGTCCTTGGGAAAGGTACCAATCCATTTCATTCTCCACATCCAACTAGTGGGGGGGGAGGTGGATTGTTACTCCCACCCCCACCAACGAGGAGAAAGAAAATCAAACCACCTGCCTCTTCAAAATCAAATCCACCTCTGAGACGTGGGTAACCTCAACGTCCCAGACGCAAAAAAGAACCGGCAATGTCACAATGAACTACAATTGTGGGATGGAGGGGAGTGGTGACCACAGCGGCGGTGCAAAATAAACTGAATAAAAATGGCTGAATAAACAAAAAAAAATAAAATAAAATAAAAAAAATAGGTACGTAAATATAACTATTCCTCATGGGTATCGTAGATGTTTGCGAGTCGTTTTCTGAAGAGCAAACCTACCGTGAAGCAAAACTCTAACTCAAGTTTGTTGATCTCAGTTTTTAAATGACTCATCAAATCTTGAAACTGCTTGAAGTCGAGTAGCAACTTTTTAACCACCAAGCCGTCAAAGGAATCTTAGTAAAAAATATTTTAATTTACTTTTATTTTTATCTACTTTAAAGCACACACTACATTTGATGTAAATATTTAAAATAGAAACGCTAGTTTTATTGATAGATAGGTATACGAGGTTGGAGAAAATCAGATCATTTGATAGGCATGATGGATATAGGTCTAGCGTGGTCCACTGATATTCAACCTTCGTCAACATGTGAGCATGATGGCAAATTGATAATTTTAGCCTTCCGATAACCCGGTTCGTACGACCTCAATTCACTGTGCTTGTTTACGAAAAATTCTAAATTGACATAAGATATATTTGAAAACCTGTTTCGCTTCACACTTCCCGTGTTCTCAATGCCCAAATTCTTTGCGGTTTGAATTTTTTTTTTTTAAAGAAGCTATTATTGGTTTCACGGATAGTGATTTTCCAAGCGTAGGTTGGATGTGGCACAAGGCCGAAAGTATGGGGCATCCAGTGAGGATCGAACTCACTACTCAGTCGTAATTGTTCAAGCAAGACAAGCTTGCTGACCATTACACCACCTCGAGGTCTCTCTGTTTTCACGTATATGCGCTTATATATACTCAAAAGTTTGTATTAACACATTTACTCCAACTTTGAGTCATTAAATACTGCCAGACGACATTATTGTTTTCGTGAGAGTCGAGCGCTGAATTTCTATCGAATATCTCATCTCCTATTTGGCAGCGAATACTGGACACTTACCTCTCAGATGAAAAACAGACATGGCGCTACTAATAAAAGCGTGTGGGTTTTGGCGTTTGATGCTAAAACGCAATGTGCAAATTTGGAGACTGGATCATAAGTTAAATGTTAATGATTACTGATTCTTGATCTTTGTACTTGATCTATTTACACTATTTAGACTGTTGTCATATTCACGATGTTTCGGTCGTTGTACCCTCCAGCTTTCTTCAGGTGATATTTCTTGGAATTTAGAACCGAGCCATTTATTTAGTCCACGGGGACAGATTGTTCTAATTCCACGCCTTTAGATGTCTCAGTTTCAGTTAATTCTCCTTGATAACTCGCCAAGTTTTGTTTTCTTTACTTTGGCCAAGGATTGAACTCACAACTCCTTGGATCAATCAACCAACGCTTTTATCCACTGCCATTGGCGAGTGAATTTTTGGTACTGATAAACCTAATGTCTCAACAACATTTTTTTTTTTACCAGAGCTCATATTACAATTTTTTGTTATTTTTCTCTTGCTCTCTCTACAAGTTCCCATATTGTATTCATCTCCATGCTTGTCCGGCTTAGGAGATTTTTGTAGTCTAGCTGTTTCCTTAAGTTTTCGTATTTTCTGAGTGATGTTCTTTATTATTTCTACTCCATACCACAGAGGGTGGTGATCTCCCTTTTCTCTCCATATATGGTCAGCCATGCCTGATTTTTCTGTTTCCCCTCTTGTTACGTCTTTACGGTGTTCCTGCAGTCTTATCGTGTTATGTCCTTACGGTATTCCTGCAATGTTATCGTAAATAAGACAATGGAGATCGGGACAACAGTTCGAACAATGTAAATAGTGAAAATTACACTTGTAATGACAAAAGTACACAGGTGTAGGCTTTAAGAAAGCTTTATTTAACTGAGTATACAAGGTTCGTGTATAGTGTCCTTTTATAGTCCCAGTAAACAGAAATTGCTCTCTTAAAGAGGAGAGTAACAAAACAAGGGGAGACAACTCTTGATTATTTATAACACAAATATTAAGTACACCAAATATAAATACAGCCGATGGTAGTGGACAGAAATGCATAACCGATACTAATATCCAACTGCACAACTGTATTAACTAATTAAATTAAATAAACAAACATCCTACTTGGTGCAATCAGGCTGTAATAACAAAAGTACTTAGGTGTAGGCTTCAAGAAAGCCTTATTCAACTTAGAATACAAGGTTCGCGTATAGTATCTTTTTATAGTCTCAGTAAACAGAAATAGCTCTCTCAAAGAGGAGAGTAACAAGACAAGGGGAGACCACTCTTGATTATTCATAACAATCTCATCTCAGAAATAAAGACAGATCTGATCTATTATCCAGCCGTAAACATTTATTTTTGTTTTGATTTTAAATGTATATATTTTTGGTTGTTGTATGGTAGTAAATGTAACTGCATGTATGCAATGATCTTGGTAAACATAAGGCTTAATTCAACTTTGGAGGCTTACACACGGTAGTTCAGTGGTTGTGGAGTAATTGGCCAAAGTTAAGTGTAATCGGCAAAATGATCAACAAATGGAATTGGCAATGTTCTCAATAAGAAAAATGAAGAAAAAAGAACAAGGCAAAAAAATACTAAGCAAACACTATATATGCAAGTCAAAACTAGGTAAAGCAACATTAATAAGGCAAAAAGCTCACAAAGTTAGAATAGTGTTCAACGTAAAATAGATACCCAAGCGATTGTAGCGTTCTGACATCAAGACAAGAAAGAACAAAAATATGGTGGTCTATTTTTATTGGTTGGGAAGAAATCCCAGCCTCCATCAATAGGATTTCTATATAGATTTGAGGAGGGGATGTTTTTAGCGAGGATTCTGTACCAATTGGAACTAATAGTAGTTCGTAATTGTTGACTCCCCTGTCCGAGCGCCCCCCACCACCTTAAAGATATTTTCTGCAGTATGGCGTCATCTAGACCAAAATTGCATTTGTTAAGGGAGTCGAGTCAACACAACAGATTTAATGTCACGTGTTTACGTTTTGTTGTTTACTTTATAGCAACGCCAATCAGCGGAAGTAAGCCATGGCGGGTCCAGACAGGCGATGTTCACCGGGTCAGATTAGACGCTGTTTAGTTTGCATTTTTTTTTTGCTTCATACACATATTGCAATTGCAGCTAAATGTAAAAAAAAAAGTCTGAGAAAGTAAATATGTTTTCAAAAAAGATTTAAAAAAATGCGTATATAAAATGTTTTGACTTGTTCAAATCAGGGTTTGAAAAGGTAAATCATCTTACTGACCTTTTAAAATTATTGCGACCATAACTGAACAATGCCACCCACGTTGAGAATCATTCATTCAATAATATCTTTTTTTTTTTAGATTTATCATTAACAATTACATTATATTACGTTCTTCTTTACCTCCATGATGGAGAATAGAGCCACATCCTCACAATACCAGGTGTTTCTGTCATGGTTTCTATAGTAAGTATAATTTTACGGAATGAAGTTGCCAGCATCACCCTCAAAAGGATTTGAATTCAACACCGTCCTTCTTCTATACTGGTTATCAACCAAAACCAGACAGCCCAGCCTGCTTTGTGTCTTAATCTATAATATGTTATTTAACCCAGGGTTTTTCAAACTTTTTTTTTTACTGCGACCCACAACAAGAACCACATTTTCCGACCTATTATACCTCCGTGTAATAAATCAAAGAAAAACTCCATTCACGAGGTTCATTTATTTAGCATCGACAATTGATATGTATATTTCTTATGATCCGCACATAATGGAATTGCATGTATCTATTTGTATTATCTATTTGTATGAATATAAAATTATTGCTTTTAGAAAAAAAGAAAGAAAGAAAATTCCGACACAAATGTAAAGTAAATATTTGAAAAAATGTCATTTAATGAGATGGATGTGCTTATTTGTTCACAAGCAGCTGATTCCAGTTGATTTATGAGTGCTGTGCAACATTTTGAGTTGATTATATTCTGTACTTTTCATTTTTTCTTCCTTTTTGTCACGACCCATTTTATTTATCTCGTGACCCACTAAAGGATCGGAACCCACTGTTTCAAAAAACATAATATAACCCATAAGTATACTCATGTTTATATTTTTTTTTATATAAAATAACATTTATCAAACTATAAATAATGATGCAAATATGCGTCTTTGGCTCTATGTTTTTGTTTATACTCTCTTATGTACGTTAGGATGTTTCCCCCAAACAGCCCTACAATCAAGATAAGAAATTAGTGTGATGAAGCAAACATTATAGAAAATCGTAGAATAGACGTACATATCAGAAAACGCATATGTTAAAATCATTAAGAATATGCAGCCCCCAATATTTACCTGAGGAAGAAACATATATTGAAAACATTTAAAAACATACAATATCCTTACTATTTCATTCACAATACTAACAGAAAGGTATAAAATATCTGCAATAACAAAAAGATAATGACAACGACAATGACAACAATAAACTAGATAAAAATAGGTATATACTATTACCTACCAACTCCTTAGTATTTACTATTCAAAACAATATATCCAGTCTTAAAATATATCCAAATAATTACAAACATATTCAAAACTGTTATGAATAAGATCAGAACCAATAATATCCACTATAACAATAATTCTGAAGGTATATAAAAACAAACTATCACAGATGCTCATTACAATATATTGGTGAAACTTGCCAATATATATATATATATATATATATATATATATATATATATATATATATATATATATATATATATATATATATATATATATTCACTACATAAGAAATTTATCTAATATATTGGTTTAGGCTTATGTCCACATGACGTTGAAACAGCGATTCCCGTACGATCACCGAAGTTAAGCAACGTAGAATCTGGTCAGTACCTAGTTGAGTGATCCCTTGGGAATACTAGCTGCTGCAAGCTTGGATGTGCATGTGGTGCAATGGAAAACGGCTCGGAATTGTTAATCGGAGAGCCAAGTTCCAATTCCCGTTCGGTTCGTTATATTCACTTACTCGAAAATACCCTTGGAAAAGGTATGAATCCACCTCTTCTTCTCACAGCTATGGGTTAATTAGTAAGACTTGTATAACTAAA